TGCTATTGGATTCTTTTCCAAGTCGATAGCTGACATGCTGTTGATATTCATGGTAATTGCTCCATGACTCTTCACTATGATCTCTTCGACCAGGTTCACCATCCAGGTTGCTTGACATACACAAAGAGAAGCATCTATATATTCTGCTTCGTGTGATGACAATGCTACTACTAGCTCCTTTCTCGAACTTCAAGCAACTTGTGCACCACATAACATAAACACATAACCAACTCCTGATTTTCTATCCTCAGCATCACTACGCCAACTAGAGTCGGTGTATCCCACTAACTTATATTCTTTTCCTTCATCAGCTACAGGAAACAAAATGTCATAGTCGAGAGTCCCTTTCAAATACCTCAGTATCCTCTCCGCCGATGCTAGGTGTGATACCTTTGGCTTCTACATGAATCTACATACCATACCCACATTATATGCTAAGTCGGGCCTTGTGTGACAAAGGTATCGAAATGACCCAATAAGTCTTTTATATTAGGTTGGATCGACATCATCTTCATCTGAATCCTTTGACAGTTGCAATCTGGTCTCAACTGGAGTCGAAGCTAGGTTGCAATCTTGCATCTCAAATCTCTTGAGTATTTTGTCTGCATATCTTCTTTGGTGCATCATTAAACCTCTACTACTCTTGTAGAATTCGATGCCAAGGAAATATTATAGATTTCCCAAGTCTGACATTTCAAACTCCTCACTCAAGTTATGTTTGAAGTCTTCAATCTCCTTCTTGCAACTTCCAGTTATCAATAGGTCATCGACATAAAAGCATATTATAAGCAGTTCACTACTGCTTCTTCTTACATACACTCCATGCTCAGTCGTACACTTCACAAATTCCTTCTCCCTTAAAAAGCTATTGATTTTCTTATTCCAAGCTCTTGGAGCTTGCTTAAGTCCATAGAAGGCTTTATGCAGCCTGTACACCTTTCTTTCCTCGCCTCGTTTCACAAACCCAGCTGGTTGTGCAATATAAACTTCTTCGTCTAAGGGGCCATTAAGAAATGCACACTTCACGTCCATCTGACATGTGTGCCAATTGTTTATATTTGCTAGACCAACAACCAATCTAATTGTTTCGATCCTAGCAACAACTGCAAAAACTTCGTCGAAGTCGATTCTTTCCTTCTGAAGAAATCCTTTTGCCACAAATTTTGCCTTGTGTCGAGTTACTTTTCCTTTAGGATTCACCTTCACCTTGTAAACCCACTTCACATCAATTGCCTTCTTGCCTTGAGGCAAATTGACAAGTAACCAGGTGTTGTTGACTTCGATGGAGTTTTACTCCTCATTCATTGCTTTCACCCACTTCGAATCTTTCAATTCCTCAGCTGGATTGATTGGTTCGACATCTACATGGAAAGCATAGTGTACCATCTCACCTTCTTCATCGACCACATCATTTGATGTAATCACACATCCTTGCAACCTCGTAGGCATGTGTCTTGTTCATCGAGGTCTGCTTGGGCCAACTTCATCTCTGACTTGTTCCTATCGAACTTCACTTTCAACTTCAGTGGCTGGTTATTCACAAGAGATTCTCACTTAATCCTTCTTGACAATCTCAGTCCAATCCCATTCTTTAAGCTCATCTATGATCATATCTCTGTTGATCACTACCTGATTATTCACTAGGTCGAATAACTTGTAACCTCCAGTCGAATGATATTCTATCAAGATCATCTGATTTGACTTATTATCAAACTTCCTTCTCAGCTGATTTGGAACATGTCTATGTGTTATAGATCCAAACACCTTCAAGTGACTGAGGCTAGGCTTGACACCAGACCAACATTCTTTTGGTGTGATTTCTCCAAGCTTCTTCGTCGGACATTTGTTTAATATGTATGTTGCTTCGAAACCGCTTCTCCCCATAATTCTTTGGGTTGATATTTTCCATTTAACATACTTATCACCATGTTCATGATTATTTTGTTCTTTCTTTCTGCAATTCCATTTTGCTGAGGAGTGTAGGGTGGCACCACCTCATGCACAATCCCTTCTTTTTCACATAATGTATCGAACTCTTTCGACACATATTTTCCACCATCATCAGTCCTCATGATTTTCAGCTTTCGATCACTCTATCTTTCAACCATAGATTTGAATCTGGAAAATACTTTGATCATATCACTTTTCTTCTTGATGAGGTAAATCCATAACTTTCGACTGTAATCATCTATGAGCGTGATAAGGTATCTGTTTCCTGCAATAGAATCCACCTGGATTGGACCACATACATCAGAGTATATGACTTCCAGAATTTCCTTCGATTTCCTTCATGCATCCTTGCTGAAGTTATTCTTATATTGTTTCGTTGAACACACTCTTCAAAAACTTCACTTAGAATGTCGATTTCAGGTAATCTAGTCGAAAATGACATAACCATTCATCTTTATTGGTTGTAGTTGCAAGGCATTTGTGCTCCATCACATTGAGTTCAATCTTGAAGGTCCTATTCTGAGACATTGGAGCCTTCAAGATCAACCTACCACCTGCGTTGAGAACTCTCATCATCTTGTCTTTGATCGACACCTTATAGTTCTTTTCGACTAGCTATCCTATACTGAGCAAATTACTCTTCATGCCTAATATGTACAACACATTAGAAATTCTTGACCTCTTTCCATCTTTCCTCATAGTCAAAGTTGCAAATTTCACCATGTTCTTTGACGTGGGCTTCATGTTGATAAACCAATATTTCCTTGCAATCATGTGTGATGAGCATCCTGAGTTCAAGTACCACTGGTCCTGGAATCTCTCTTTGTTTCTTGTTGTGATTATTAGCAACATCTCTTCTTCTTCATGCTTTGCCATCTTTGCATCAGTTTCTTGATTCTTATTCCTTTCTCGACATTCACTAAAATAATGACCATACTTCTGACAATTGAAACACTGAATGTGACTTTTGTCAAGCTTTCGTCTACCACCTCTTTCTCTACTTGCAGCACCACCTCTTTGGTTGCCTTGGTTCCAGAGTTTTTTTTATTCGACTAGTTTCCTTCCTGCTAATTTCGACCAGTCGAATTGTTGTAGCATCTTCTACCTTTGTTTCCATTTCATTTTCCTTTGCCTTTTCTTTCCTTTTCTGGCTGCGCTTGCAAAGCCATATCACTCTTCGACTTTCCTGTAGCTCTCTCAGCCATACTTTGTTCATGAGACTCAAGTGTCCCCTGAAGCTCTTCCTTCGTCAATGTTGACAAGTCTTTCGACTCTTCTATGACTACTACCATGTGGTCGAACTTTGGAGCCAACAACCTCAAGATCTTTGCAACAATTGATCTTGATGTCAACACTTCTCCACATACCTTAATTTGATTCACCAGCTTTGTAACTCTAGTGAAGAAATCTGCTATACTTTCACTTTCTTCCATCTGAAGCAATTCATAGGTTCTCTTGTGAGTTTGTAACCTCACCTCTTTCACCTTTTCTGCGCCTCCAAACAAAATTTCAAGAATCTCTCACGCTTCCTTCACTAATTCTACATCACTAACATTTTAAAAATCATTTGGATCTACACATTGATGGATTATAAAGAGAGCTTTATAATCTTTCTTCTTCAATTATTTGAATGCAGCCTTTTCTTGATCCGTCGCGCTTTCTACAAGTGGTGTTACTCCTCTCTTCATAAGATCCCAAAGATCTTGATAACAGAAAGTCACTTTAATCTGCTTGCACCAATTCTCATAATTATCTTTCTTGAGAATTGGAAGGTTTGGCGAAAAGTAACCGTTTGGATGATTCAACGTTATCATGATTTTCCTTTCTTGAATTGTAATCGAAACTCTAGATACCAGATGTTGGAAATTCACCCATAACCTGTGAAGAATTTCACTCAATCAATCTTGATCTCAAGATTGTTCTCACTCACGTAATGACAATGAAAACATTTAGAAAGAAAGAAAAGAAAGAAAGAAAGAAAGTGTTGGAGAAGAAGAAGGTGAACAATTTTCTGCAGAGAACTCTCTGCCCACAAACTGTGAAAATTCTGTTATATCACTTGTAATTGCAAATTGTGAATTACAAAGTATGATGAGATGAGTTGTTTACAAAATAAGAGTTTCTTCCTATTTATAAATTTAAGTTAGCTTACACCCAAGTTAAAATTCAATCTATAAAAGCTCAAAAATATCTAATCTAACTTTTCTAAATCAAATATAATATTTTTAAAATAATAAATTACATATTTAACAATCAATACAATAGAGATATAAAGGAGAGACTAAAACATACGCCTCTAATTTTCTTTTATAAATAATTTTTAAATTTTAAATTTATTAAATAATTAATATATCTAACTATTATATAGTCTAGATATATTATTTATTAAATAAATTTAAAAATCAAAATTTATTTTATAAAAGAGATTGGAATAAATAGGTGGAGAGAAGATACAACAGATATACCACGTACAGAGCAAAAGGGAGGAGAAAGTGAAGAGACACAAAGGCATAGAGAAAAAAGTTTGATATTTTCATTGAGTTTTTGTTGAAGCTTTTAATCTCAACCATTAGTATTTAAGTTGTCAGCATCTATCATTGAGAGAAAAAGGTCAAATGCAGTTATACTACACTATTGGTGACTACATCGGTCCCTAACTAGCCACCAACTAACCACCTCACCAAACAAACCAGGCGTACCTCTTTAACTACATTAATTCATAGAATTATACAATCAAATTGAGATCACATTTCATTCAATACAAGCAACTATTTACAACTTCTCATATATGTGGTTGATGTAATATCAGCCTTAAACTAACAATCACAACACCTCATATATGATTCCGACACTGACACTTACACACGACAGTACAAGTTTTGGTGCAGATATCAGATACGGACACAAATACATATTTTTTCAGAAATGTCAGGTGGTAGAAGGTCATAAACATTTTCTTTTTACATTGTTATAAATTTTAATCATACAATTATTTAGGATCTTAAACAGTAAGAATAGCAACAAACCAAAGCTAGATTATCATTTCTATATCAAATTCCATCATCATAAGGAACTGAAGTAGATTCAAGCCATTCATCCCCAGTAATAAACTCAGAAACAGTAAAATTATAAGCATCATTGTAATCCATCAAATGGTAACCCAACCATTCAACCCGATTATCAATCTTCGAACCGGGTCCATAATTCTCATACTCACCATAAAACAAACTATCCAAACCTTGTTCGTTTGACCATTTTGTCCAACCCTTTGCATCAATAAAATCATCAATATAAGACTCAATCAAAACAGTTCTAGAATAAACCCTCCACGGCCTTCCAAGGTAACTCTTGATATTACTAGAGTTCGAATAGAGTTCATCCGTAGCTAGAATCGAACAGTTTTGTATCGAAATTCCAGTGTCTTCGTCGGGGTTATCTCTCGACTGTGCTGTTATGACAGTGAATTGATTTGGTAATGGCATTCTTGAAATGATGTTGCATTCTTGTAATACTACTGCTGCGTTACCGAATATGAAATCTATGGTACCGTAGATGTCACATTCTCGGTAGAATTGTCGAAATGAATGGACATAGAGTGTGTCTTGGTAACCATAAATTGCGCATTTGTAGAATGCTGTAAAGTCTGCATTTACTCTTAATGCAACTGCTTGATGTTTCTCTGGTCCTGCTTTGTTCTCAAATGCTATGTCTCTTGCGAGAAAACCATCGCCTGATACAGCTGGAAACAAAAATTGCATTTATTATGTAGCGGTCATTTGAAAAGAAGTAACTATCTGACTTTTCATGCAACCCTACCTAGATTGATTTGGATAAATGTAGGAATCTGATTTCGAGACATTGTGGACACATCTCTAATTCAAGATAACAACTTTGGTTTGCCATGTTGTGTAATAATTGGACAATATTTGCTTTGAACATATGTATATGTGAGGAATCCTCACATTAATCCATAATTTTAAGATGGTATCAAAGTTCGATTTATGATCCATTGCACTAAGTACTACCAGATTTCTACTATCGAGCTATCCATATATTGTACTTATGACAATCGTCAAGTTAGTTTCAATATCAAATAATAATTTGAGAATTTTTTTTCACTAAATTGATTTGAAATATATATATATATATATATATATATATATATATATATATATATATATATATATATATATATATATATATATATATATATATATATATATATATATATATATATATATATATATATATATATATATATATATATATATATATATATATATATATATATATATATATATATATATATATATATATATATATATATATATATATATATATATATATATATATATATATATATATATATATATATATATATATATATATATATATATATATATATATATATATATATATATATACATTTGATTGCATGATTAACCACTTGTGCTTTTCAAAAGACAAATCACATAAAAATCCAAACGAGTAAAAGACAAAAAACCATGAAAAAGGGTGAAAAAAACTTCACCTAAAGTTGCAGATCTGAAAGTGGTCCATCCATCAACAACACTTCTGTTACCAGTGATGACAGTAGAATCACTTCCATCACCAAGCATGATAATGTTAGTTTTATAGCTTGGTATTTCAACGTTTTCATCATAATTCCCTTCTTTAACATAAATCACTATCCTAACCATACTATTATTTGGAGCAAAGTTTATAGCATCATTGATAGTGCTAAAGTTCCCACTTCCATCTGCAGCCACAACAATGGCTTCATTATGATCATACTCATCCAAATCTAGCCATTTTGAAGAAACCATTTTTTGGTTATGACCCTTTTGGTTTGAAGCCTCGTTTACATGATTAGAGAGCATAGAAAGAGAGTTACTCACATGTTTATATGTGTTGATAACAGAATTAACAAGAACTGGTTTAAGGTTACCAGAAGCAGAATCAAGTCCTTCTAAACATGTGTTTTTGTTTGTAAGTGCTGCACTGAGGTAGATTCTAGCATCAGCTATGTTTCTTTTGTTGGAGGAACGGATTTTGGTTAATGATGTTTTTAATGATGTTAAGGTTGATTGGTGAAGCTCCTTGCAGTCTTGGATTGATCCTCTTTGTTTCTCCACGACGGCGTTCGAGTGTTCGATGTTGTGGAAAAGATTGGAGAGCTTTGTGGTTTCGGATATTGCTTGTTGAAGGGATTGGAGGAGGTAGGTTATGATGTTTGGGTTTATGTTTATTGATATGGAGAGTTTTAAGGAGTTGAAACAAAGGTTTGGGTATGGTGTTGTTTTGCAGAGAGATTTTAAGGAAGTGAGGTTGGGATTTAAGGTTGTGGTTGTGGAAGTGGTTGTGTGGGGAGGTAAAGTGAGTGAGAAGAGGATTGTATAGAGAAGGAGGAATGGTTTGTGAGATGAGGAAGCCATGAAATGTTCATGAAAAAGTTGAGAATCTAACTTGTTTAAATAAAATACTTTGGGAATATTAGTATTATTCATCTTCCCTTTATTTTATTTTTTTTTAGAGAAAAGACTCTCTTAGACATGTTCTCGCAAAAACTCATAAAAAAATTAGACGCGCTCAGAAGAGAGCATAAAATAGATATTGTTGAGGGTGCAAATTTATAACTTTGTCTCACTTTAAAAATAAAAATAAAAATAGTTAGACAAAAGACAGGTCCACGAGTTTTAGATTTTTAAAATTTAAAAATCATAAAAAATTATATTAATACTTGTAGAAAATCTAAAAAAAATAAAACATATTCGAGTAGAACTATTAGATGGTGCAAGACTAACATGTTAATCTACATGGACAAAACGAATATGATCAATTAGTTTGACACATTTGTCACCCAATTTCCTTGAACTTTGAAAACAATCCGTGACTATTTTATACCATAAGTTGATATTTGAGGTGAATTGAACCTAACCTAAATTTCTCACAAATATGGAAGCAAAAATTATGTGAAAATATTAAATACACTTCTTTATCGGTGAATTGTTGATACTTAGGAGCAAGTTGGTCGGAAAGATGAGACATGAAAATATTGATGCATGTTAAGTCATTTGTTTTCATCACTACTATATCATTAAATTTTCAAAAATTTTTGTTGCAGGTTATAAATAGGTAATTTCCACCGTCATTTGAAAATGATGAAAAATCAGATGAAGTTTACCATTTAGATCAATGTAGTGTATGTTAAAATTTTCATTAAATTAATAGAAACCAAAGATTCAGAGTGTTCAATATGTCTGCTACAAATGAAATGAAGTACTAGAGTGATTGATGAATATTATATTCTTTTCGATTTAAGGTGCATGATTTTGGCAACCCGTGAAGGGGCTTCCAAGTTTGAATTATGCCCCACACGACAAGCTATACGTTTCCACTTTCCACTAAGAATAAAACTCCATGCTCGATAGGTGGTGAAATGATTTATACAAACAAATTATTAACAAATAATTAAGATACTATTTAATTAATTAAAAGTGGCAATTTTTATGTAAAAATGTGTTTGTTATTTAAAAAAATGATTGATTTGTATATTTTAAGATGACTTGATTAAAGTTTTTGGACATGTTCAAACTTAAAGAATATTACTGAGATTATATGTAAAAATATGTTTGTTATTTTTTATAAAAAAAATGATTGATTTGTATATTTTAAGATGACTTGATTAAAGTATTTGGACATATTTAAACTTAAAAGTATATTATTGAGATCATTCGTTATGGTTTATTACTGTCTCGCCTGATAAAGAATGCAATATACTGTTCCGTCTGATAGAAAATTTGATAATAACCATGTATAGGCATTACAAAGGGTAGTGGGTGATATCTAGGATATCTCGTTAAGGGAGTGATGTGATCATATTAAAAGTTGACTCGATTTTAAATTAGAGAGCTGACTCAACCTCAAGCCATGTAATCAATTTGGATAAGAATCATGGACATAAAGGCTAAATTTAAGGCAAGATTATTTTAATTTCGTCAAAGAATAAATCATAGAGATGATAAACTAATTTTTTGAACAAATCACAAACATGAGGAAACCGTAATGGTGAAAGTTACCTTAAGTGTTGACGATCGAGATGCCAAAACAAATATTTGTACCACTCTGGAGGTGTTGCGTTGCTAGAATGAAATATTGCAAAATAGCATAAAGAATCTTAAACAACAACAACTAGAGAGCGACAAGTAGAAGAGTATAGAGGCTTTATACCTTTGACCTATTTCCATGAGATCTGGGATGTGTCAGTTCTAAAGAACTTTAAGTCACCCATATTGATAGTTTTAAAGGAAAAAGCGACTCATTAAAGAACATTAGCGTCACCAACATTTCAACGATGATCTTAGGTGAAAACGACTTTCTTAAATGTAAGTTCCTCTCAGGCATGCTGAAGGAGGCGACCTTGCGTTGGTACATGAACCTCCTTAGATTCTCCATTAGCAATTACCACAGCGTTTCAAAATATTTAATATATCAGTTCTCAACGAGCAAACTTCACAAGATTTCAACCATGAGCTTGTTCAACGTGCATCAAGGACACTTCAAATCTTTACATTGCATGCTTCAATGAGGATACAATCAAGATAATCAATCCTAACCAATATATGTTCATAAGAGCATTAGAAAAAGGGCTTAAAGTAGGACATTTCAATGAGTCCTTTCCCCTAAAATCCTACATAATCAATTAAATAAATAATGGCAAAGACGGAAAGTTATGTCAAAGTGTCGCGGTGCGAAAAATACCCGAACATACGAATGCTCGAAATAACTACATAGTCATCACCAAAGTTTTATTTTTGAAGGGAAACATCGATAAAAACCTTAAAGGATTAAAATATGATCATCACAACTAGTTTCGGGTTCGGGGTCGATTATTGGAGGGGAAGATATTAATGAAGGAGAGAAAATACTTAGAAGAGGGGTTGAATAAGTATGTAGAATGACTTAGTAATAAAAAACTCAAGGATTTTTATCCTGGTTCGTTGAACTCAACTACTTCAGTCCACCCTATCAAGAGTGATTTGCCTTTCTCAAACAAGGACTTAATCCACTATCAAATCAACTGATTACAATAGTAAGCATTAAGAACAATTGTTCAAAGTCTTCTCAAGAACTACTGATCCTACTTGGATCTTCTTAAGGTTCTTTTACAATCAAATGTAAGAATAATACAAGTGTTTAAATTTGCTTCTAATCAAGCTTTATCACAACTGTGATTTTACACTTAAGATTTATGAACTATGAAATAAATTCAGCAAGTGAGTATAAATTGTATGAGAGCTTGTAATGAATTCTTTCAATATTTCGTCAACTGAAGAAGATGGATGGAGTCTTTCTTTTATAGGCACAGAGGTCCAAGAAGTCTTTCACGTTGAAGGTTGTGTACCAAAAAGGTCTGAGCCTTTTTGTCTTCACATCACATGACCTTTCCTAGAAGTAGAATGCACAGAAAAATTCTTTTTGTCTGTGTTCTTGTGTCTAGCATAAATGAGGAAAGAGTCGTTTGGCCATTCCAACGGACATAACTTTGAATTCTTCTTCAACAAGTTTCAGCAAAGTATCAGAGCCTTGACTGATCAGAGCCTTCTGATGTTCATCAGAGTTTGCTGAATCAGAGTCTTTGCAGCAAGTGTGCTTTCAGCGTGTAATTGTTCAGAGCAGAGTTTGGAATTAGATCCTCAGTACTGGCAGCATTAGTACTATCAGAGTCTTCTGAAATAAACTAAGCTTGAAACTCTTCATACATAATTCTTCAATGCTTCAGATTCTTCTGTAGCTTCTGCTTCAGATCCTTCTGTAGACAGCGCTCAGAATCTTCTGGAGGCAGCATTCAGAATCTTCTAACAGATGCTTCTGACGCTTCAGAGCCTTGCATCTTTTTCATGTTCAGATCTAATATGCTTTCAGATTAATATTCACTTTAATATCTGCAGCAAACATTTTCAAACAAATTTTAGAGTATATAATTCTTTAATACAAAATTTCATAAGAGTTATCATCAAAATATAGAGATATAATTAAGAACCAATCTGTGTTCTAACAATCTCCCCCTTTTTGATGATGACAAAAACATAAGAAATTTTGTTCAATTGAAAAATATAATTATAACTTCCCTTGAGATTATGAATCTCCCCCTGAATTGAATACTTAGAAGAAATAGAAACTTCCCTTTTTGCATGAGTATTCTTTTCAGAGTCAGAGCCTGATTGTTCCAAAAATTAGATCTTGACTTTGGATGCATGTTTCAGAATCAGAGCCTGATTGGTTAAATATGATCTGGGAGTCTCAGAGTTACTTTTAAAGAATTGTCAGATATATCAATTGTTCTGAAACACTAAGAGTTTACGTTAGTTATAATTTATATGTCTGAATTTTCATTTAGGTAGAGTTTATTTGAACAATCAGATCCATTTCTCCCCCTTTTTGTCATAATCAAAAAGTAAAACTTTTAAAGACAAATAAAAGGAAATACAGAAAAGATAAATTCATGTAGAGAAAACACAGAGTCATTCATTCATATTCAAAACAGACAAAACATCAGATAAATTCAAGTACATGTGCACAAACATCAGATACAGAAAAAAAATATAAACTAGGTTTGCTTGGACAGAATCATCTTCAACAGGTGAGTGATATCAGATGAAGACTCTTCTTGCTTGGTCATCCACTTAGCCATGTTCTCATTCTTTTGATCTTGTTTGGACATCCATTGTGCCATGTCTTCAGATTTCTGGTTTTGCTTGGCCATCCATGACTTAATCTCAGATTGTCCAGCTTCCAAAACTGCAATCTTATCTTCCAAATCTGGATTCTCTTTCTTTATCTCAGATGAAGAAGGTGGGGTAGATTCTGAAGCAGGAACAGAGTCAATTTCCATTGGAGATGCAGAGTCAGGAGCAGCAGATCCAGAGGGATGTTCCACAATAGTCATAGCCAGAGGGTTTTCTTCAGAAGCAGATGCGGCATTCACTTCTGTAGCAAATACTTCAGAAGAAGTAGGAACATCTTCAAGAAGCAAAGGTTCAGATCTTTTGACATTCCAGATCATGCTTCTAGCAGTCTCAGCAAATCTGAGCTTCGCATCATCAGAACATACATTCTTCAGATTTGAGGCTACAGTATTGAATCTGTTGATGAAGTTATTCCAAATAGCATCAGATTCATTTGCATCCATTATTGACAAGCATCTCTTCTGAACAGATCCTAAATGCATCTTTATTGCTTTCATAAAACTTGCAAATAAATTATCAACATTCAACTTAAGTTTTGGTGTCATAAGGGTTTCCAAGGTGAATGGCTTAGGTTGAGGTGGAGGTGGAATGGTGAACTCTGGAATGATGATCAGAGGACGAGGGTAGAAAGGAATGGATGGAGAGTCAGATGAAGTGATAGATTTTGATCTGATTAAAGCATTAAT